TCAGCCTTGTTCTGCCTCCCGAGTGATGGACTCCCTTCCATGCAGGTTTTTGTCACATCCCTCCGTGACCCCCCAGCCCAACCTCTGCACCGAACAGAAACGATGTGACCCAACAATCAAACGGCAGATGCTAATTTGTACCATGTTGTTTATCTGCGCATCTTCAGGGAGTGATTGTTCTAAGCAAAATAATTTCCCAATGACAGTCCTTCTAAAATATTATGCTCTTCCGGCCATCTTATGGAGAAGACAAAGGACGCAGTTCAGTCTCTCTGACGGCGCTGGGACCTCGTTCTGAACATGAAACACAGATCTGTCCTCAAAGGCCTTGACCTGAGCTGGGTTTTCAGTCCTATCACCAGAAGCCCACGGAGGGCTGTGCTTCTGAAATTCCTCATTCTCCTTCATGGGCATCTGCTGGGGTGGGGGGTGCCTGCGTCTTGGCCCCGGGATCTCTGAGTCTCGTCTTGCGCCTGAGGTGGCTCCGGCCTTGCCCGGGAGAGCAGTGTGTGTGCCCTGTGGTAGCTACTTTCTTCTCCTCACGGCTTTTTCTTATTTTGTTCACAGTCGGGTTCCAACTGTGTTACGTGGTCATGAATGCTATGAATCTACCAACACCCTTCTATAACGATTGTCTGCTGAGCACCTAATGTGGGCCAGGCTCTGTGCTCTGAGAGGAGGAGTGTCCTCCACACATTCGCACAGTCAGACCCACTCTCCATCTTCTCGGACTGCGGTGTACATACGAGCCAGCCGGGATCTGTTAAAATGCAGGTGCTGATTCAGGGGGCTGAGATGGGGCCTGAGAGTCTGCATTCTAACGAGCTCCCAGGTGAGGCTGCTGCTGCTGGGGCCCAGGCCATGTCTTAGAGTGTCAGAGATTCGAGCAGGACACACAGACCCAAATGCCTCCAGGGGCCAGGCAGGCACGTGGAGGTGGCGGGGAAGGGGGGATCGGGCCCTGGCCCAGGCCTGCCCGGCCTCAGGACCAGCGGCAGTGTCTGTGAAAGCGCTGTTCCGCCCGGAAGAAACACACCCGCAAGCTCAGCTCAGCCCTGGGCGTCTGGCTTGGCCCCTGCCCTGGAGTCCAGAATCGAGGGCATTGTGCAGTGAACTACTCTGGTCGCACGGGAAGTCCTTCCGCAGCCTCCCGGGTAGCAGCCCCCCTGCAGGGCTTGAACGCTTACAGGAGCAGGTAGCCGCGACTTCGGACCTGCTTGTCCCATCCTTGAGAAGACCCATTGAGAACGGGCTCTGCCACTTCCCAGCGGCACAAATTTGAAGAGGAAGGAGAGAGTGTGAGTGCACGGGTACATGAGTGCCCACGCCGGTCTACACATCGTACAGGACTTCGTGTCCTCTTCTCCTCAGTCTTGCAGGGCTACTTATCAGCCTCATTTTACAGATGAGGACACTGGATTCAAGAGGTTCACTCACTGGGCTCCAGTGACCCGGCGACTAGTTGGTGTAGCGGGGATTCCAAGTTGGGACTCAGCCTCTAAAGCCCTCCGTGAATATCTAGCAGACACTGTTGGCGTCTGTGTGTGCCATGCACACCTGTTAGTTCTACTCTTACAGAGTACAATTATTCCTGTCTTTCAGGTGAGTCAATTGAGGTTCAGAGGTTAAGTGACTCGCCTGAGGACACAGAGAGTGGTGGGGCCAGGATCCGAGCCCAGCTCCAAGTGGACGCATTCCCCTCTGCCACGCTGCAGGAGGACTTGGCTTAGCTGGTTTCTGGGCTGAAACCCTGGGGTGGCCTGAGTATGACAAGGGGTCGCCAGAAGTGGGATTTTCAGGACCCCATCTCCTTTTTGATTGTCGCGATCAGGATATGGCCATTCGGAACCTGGTAAGACACTCCCATCCTCTACCTTCACCCCTGCCCTGCTGGGGACATGTCCCTGGTCCTGCTGACATCAGAAGCCGCAAACGTGAGCGCTGTGGGATGTGGCAGAATCTGGGCCTGCCTCCTGGAGCCTCTGGGCTGCCTGTCAGAGCAGGCACTATGGCTGTCGGAGGCACGGGACTCAATCTCGTTCTCCTTGTCTCATCCCCGAAAAGTCTGCGATGTGGTAGGAAAGGAGCTATAAGAAGCATAAATTTCCAAAAAGTTTTATTTTTTTGTTTCACGCAGCATTTATAAGAAATCCCTTTTATGATGCCGCATAAAATGGGGGAGGGTCTGTGGCTTATCATTTCTTTCTGATGGATGAGGTGAGATAGCCTCGTGTTCTCCCCAGCAACACACACACACATGCATGTGTGCATACACGCACACACGCACGTGCACATTTGTAGAGGGGAAGACTTATTCTAAATTTCCCTTGGGACTCTGGGCCCTTCACCGTCAGCTCTTCTCCTTCAAACTCCACATCTAGTCTCCTGACGAGGCCCAAGCAGGATAACGAGTGAGATGGAGTGAGATGGGGGACGCTGCCTCTCAGCCACTTGCTGCCTGAGCTCAGGCCGCGTCCGGGAGCAGGAGTGAGGCAGGGGACGGCCGGAAGCCTGGCGTCTTTTGGCCAAAGGTTCCGGTGGCAGGAGTCCCAGAACTTTGAGACTGGAGGAGCTTTTGTTTAGCTCAGCAAATGTCCTCCAGGGAAGAACTTTCCCCAGGTTCCATTTAATACTGACCCCGAATGACCTGACTCAGACATGCAGGAGTTACAGCTGCAATAGAGCAGTTAGGAGTACAAAGAAAGCGCGCGAGCACAGCTGTTTCGTCACTGGCCTCTTCCTCCCTGCCTGCTTCGTGACTTCACACCCGGGCTATGTCCACAGCATCCTCCTCCCAGCTGCAGCCCCAGGCTCTCCTCAAAGGGCTCAGGCTGCCAGAGCCTGCAGAGGCTGTTCATCTCTGTGGCTGTGCTGAGTGGGTCCCAGGTCCTCCCAGGCTGCTGCAGGGCCCCGCTCAGGGCACCTGTGTCAGTGGAGGGCTCCTCAACACGCTTGTGGCCGGGAGTGGACAGAGATGGTGCTCAATCCTTAGAAGCTGCCTTCTTATGTCCTTCCCACTTCATGTGGAGAGAGACTGAGAGTGGACATCATTGCGGACCGAGGGTTAGAGATTAAAAGCATTCTGCGTTTCCTTGTCACATCACCCCTGTCCTCTGGGCCCACTGTGGTTATTAGGAAAGGTTGGTGCCTCCGTGCCTGAGAGGCCCCCAGCTGGGGTCTTCCTCCCACCCTCATTCCCACCCCGGGCTGACTCCACTGGCCACTCTCCCACCCTGGGGCCTGAGGAGCGATCTGAAGGACTTGATGGGACAGCACAGGGGGCAGGCTGCCTGCACTACTCAGATCCTTACAGCTGGACAGGGCTTGGAGGCACGTCATTCTGCCTCTCCTTTTACAGCAAAGGCCTTCTGCCCCTTGCGGCCAGGCAAGTACCCTGAGGGCCTTGGAACCAACTCTCAGGATGCCTCGTCCCACTCCTGTCACTTGGTGTAGGTATTTTCTGAGCCTCGGTTTTCTCCTCCATGCAACGAGGATAACACCTACCCCCAGGGTTTCCTGTGGGGTCAGGTGAGATCACCAGGACTCCCATGGGGAGCACTCGGAGGGTGCTCACTGCACGGTAGTGCTGCTGTTCTCTCTCCCATATCTTTTCCCCCTTTTGGAACCCAGTTCCCCAAACAGATCATCCCCCTCCTAGGCCGTGAATTCCCAGAGGCCAGGGACCCTGCTAAACTCTTCTCGGCTTTCTCAGCACCTAGGACAGTGCCTGACACATAACAGGTGAGATTAAAACTTGACCAAGGTCAGGCGAGCTTTCCCAACTCCCAGAGCGTTTATTCCCCGCTGGGAGCAGAGATGCCTGCCCTCCGGAGGGCCGCCACTGCCAGTTTCACAGAAGCACATGAGCCAGGGGGAGGTTTCTGGGACTTTTATTTTTTAAAAGCCAGTGGAGATGGGCAAAAGCCTGTGGGGCTGCATTCCTCTGGCCAGCCCCCACCCACCTCCCCCAGCCCTCCCTCCGCAGCACCAGCTCCAGCTCAAGGGCCCTCCGCAGGGCGGGCCAAGGAAAGGAAGGGCCGTGGGTTCCATGCAAGCCCTTGGTGAAGCCCCTCCCTGCAGGCCTCTCCCTTCCTGCCTCTGGGTACCCCAGCTGGAGAAGCAGAGGGTTCTGGGGTCCCTTCCAGCCCTACCATCCCTCCCCTCTCTCTGGGTGGTCTTGTCCTTGCATCAGCACCAAGGGAAGCCCAGGTGGGCGGCTCTTGCGGTGCAGCATCGAGCTAGGATTCTCTCATCTTTTCTCTGCCTCTGCCTACAACCTCCCTCTTTCCCAGTGGGGGCTTCTTGTCTCTTCCTGTGTGTGTGTGGGATACCCCTGAGGGCGAAGTGGAGAAAGGAGGCCAGGAGGATTTCTCCCTCCAGGGGCACGATCCTTGAGTTTGGGTGTCAGGGGTGTTTCTTCTTCGCTGGGAGCCACTTCCCCTCCCTGAGGTGGATTTCCTCCAGCCTGGGTTAGGTATTTGGCTCTGGCCCCTCAAGTGCCAAGGTCTGAGGAGGGTACCTGGACGTGCCATCTGTTCTTCTGCAGTCAGCCGGTAGCCGACCTGGGCCCAGGACCCTGGTGTCCCAGCTCCCAGAGCAGAAGGGAGACCCTCGCCCCGTCAACTGCCTCCCTGGGGGAAGGCCCCCACAGCTGGGTCACAGCGGCATGTCTGGGGCCCCACAGCCAGTTTCCTGGCCGCAGAGCCTCGTCATTCTCATCTGCCCGTGCACCTACGACTCTGCAGAGTTGGCAGGGCAAGGGCTGAGCCCAGAGTTGCAAGACGGCAGAGAGGGAGCCAGGTCTCAGGACGTTTGCGTCTCCCTCTTTCCGCTCTCCTCCCTCAGCAGCCTTCACCCCCACCTCCGCCTCCTTCGTCTCCCCCTCTTCCCCCCTCTTCTTCTTCCTCCTGCCCCGCAGCCCCCCACTGTTAGCACTCTGCCCGCTGTCCCCCCAGCAGCGTGGGGAAGGGGAGGGGTCTGCAGCCGGGCGGGGCGGGGCGGGCGTCAGACGCCGTGCGCGCCCAGGCTGAGCACCGAGAAGGCGGCGCGGTGCTTGCGGAGCAGCAGGCGGATCTTCTCGTCGTCCGAGTCGGGGTCCAGCGGCTTGTTGTACTCGTCGTCCTCGTTCTCCGAGGCCGCGCGGTCCCCGCCCGCGCCCGTGCCGCCCGGGCCCCGAGGCGTGGAGGACGAGGGCTCCAGGGCGCTCTTCTTCCGCCACTTGGTCCTTCGGTTCTGGAACCACACCTGGGACGAGAAGGACTCTGAAGATCAAACGCTCATAGGACCCCTTTATAGGAGGTGACTGCACTCGGTGGCAAGCACACGCAGTTCTTAGTTTTACAGTAAAGTAAATGGCTCAATAATGGAGTAGGCTGTCTTATTCACAGTCCTTTTTTTTTGAGGAGGCAATAAAATAAACATAAATGCTGTGAGTGCAGCAGCCCTTGCGGCGTTGCTATAACCCTCCCTGTGGTGTATCTTCCTTCTCCTTTGCCATCTGGGGCACTCGGGTGAAGATGTTGAAATGGCCCCGGGGTGGGAATGCTTTAGCCCAGGTGAGGGCATGTCAGTAGGTGCTCAAAGAGTTGCCTCCCTGTGGTGTATCTTCCTTCTCCTTTGCCATCTGGGGCACTCGGGTGAAGATGTTGAAATGGCCCCGGGGTGGGAATGCTTTAGCCCAGGTGAGGGCATGTCAGTAGGTGCTCAAAGAGTTGCCTCACTGTGGTGTATCTTCCTTCTCCTTTGCCATCTGGGGCACTCGGGTGAAGATGTTGAAATGGCCCCGGGGTGGGAATGCTTTAGCCCAGGTGAGGGCATGTCAGTAGGTGCTCAAAGAGTTGCCTTTTAGTTTCGCAGACTGTCGCTGAACTTCATGAATAATTTCCCCCTAATTATAAAAATAACATATGCTCGTTGCTTCAGATAGTAGAAGAGTGCAGAAAAGTACCTAAAGAAGCAGAAAGATATGTAAGAGGGGCCACGTGGTTTCCTTCCTCTTAGATTCGGGGGCTTTCTCTCCGTGGAGTTAATATGGAGCTGAGGAGGAGGCTGCAGAGGTCGGTGGCTGGACATGCCAGGGCCCTGAGCAAAGCCCAGACCTGGGTCCCAACCTGTCCCAACTTCCCCCTCACCTGAAGCCCGTGGCCATGTCATAGAGCCCAGCAGTACCGCATAGCTCAAAGCTTTCTTCCTTGGTGCCCGCACCCGAAGTCCCTCAGGAAAGATCTAGTATCAGAGTTGCCCCTGGGAGCCTGAGGAGGCAGCCGCAGCTTACCTACCAATTCCAGGCTCCGCGGTGTGTAGTTTGAGAGTGCGTACCCTCCCTCACCCTTGCTTTGGCCAGCAAGGCTTCCCATGTCATGGGCGGGTGTGGGTAGGAGAAGGCGTTATCCTCATTTTAAAGTTGGTAAACCAAGGCCAGCTCGCTTGGCTAGCTAATGGAAAAAGCCTGAATCCAGTTCTAATCTGGCCCAAAGGCTGCCATCAGCTCTTGAAATTTCTGGCCGAGATGGTGCCGAGGAGGGGAGAGTGTAAGATTACCATCTGTAAGGTGGGTAACGATACCACCTCCAGGTTGCTGTGAGGATTAGATGGGGTGCTACACATAAGGCTCTCTGGACAGGGTTCAGTGTTGACAGCCACTCTTTGGTTATGGAGTTATGGTCTCTCGGGTTCAGTGGCAGGCAGTGCCCCAACACCAGGATGGCCTCCCACTGAGAGCAGGGAGTTGCCAGGAGAGCGAGGCTGCCTCTCTCCCATGCAGCAGCATCCCATCCTGGCAAGCTCCTCCCCACGAGGCAGACACCTTCTCCCACAGACTCACCTTGACTTGCGACTCGGTCATCCCCAGCGAGTATGCCAGCCGCGCCCTCTCGGGGCCAGCCAGGTACTTGGTCTGCTCAAAGGTCTTCTCCAGGGCAAAGATCTGGTGCCCCGTGAAGGTGGGACGGGTGTGCTTTTTCTTGTGGATGCTGTCGCTCAGGGTGTCCGGGGCTGTCAGAGGAAGGAAGTGTGTGGTTAGCAGGATGAGTGGGGTGCCAGCCCTGCCCAGCCTCTTCCCCGGGGCGAGCTCCCTCCTACAGAGAAGCCACTGACGTTGGGGGGCATCGTGACACCTGTCACCTGAGCAGCACTTCTGACACTCTGATAATAGTGACTGCGGCCACTGCCATGTCTGGGTGGGCAGGGACCCCAAGAGCTATAACCCTTCCCCAGGTTATAGCTACGCAGGGGTAGAGGGACCCAGCCCTGGTCTCCTGCCTCTCTGTAACGTCCTTACTCCTCAGTGATGCTGCCTTCCCCCAGATTAGGCACCTCCCACCAACAGTCAGGGCCCAGGGGCCTGGGAATTCCTCCCCTCCCCACTTCCTTGCTCTTGGGATCTCACTTTCCAGATTCTCCGGGAAAACCAGAGCCTTAACCCCCAAGTTACTGCTGTCCCCTGTCACCAGGCCTGGGAGTCATGTGGCTTCAACCACACTGGAGAGTCTGGACACAGAGGCTCAAGCCCCCAAACCCCCGCCTGGCCAGGGCAGCCTGCTCAGGAAGGAGCTGGGCCGGAGGGCAGCGGGACTCAGGGATGCAGAATGCCAACCTGTCGGGCCTTGTTCAGTGCAGCCTGACGGCCCATGTCCCATCTCTTCATGTTACACGTGAGGAAACTGAGGCACAGAAAGGGGAAGAGGCCTCCCGAGAGACCGTCACCTTCAGTCTTCTCTCCCTTTGTGTGAATGCAGCCACTGACTTCCTTAGATATTTTCCTGTGTGTATGTGCACTTGGGGTTGAAGAGTCGGGGAGTGGAGAGGGTGTGTGGGTGCGGGGAAGATGGAGGTGAGAGAGAGACAGCTTGAGGCTTAAAGCCCCCCAAACCAGGTATTAAAATAGGTTCCAAGAGGTGAGGTCTTTACCCCCATGGAGCTCGCCGTGTTGCAGGTGGAGTGAGGGTGGGCTGTCAGGCAGTGTAGCAGATGGGGGGCAGTGTGCTTCGGGGTTTCCTTGGCTGGCCCCAAGCCCCTCTTGCAGTGGGGGAACGCTGAGGTCAGAAGTGGAGGCGCCCTCCGCTCCTGCCCCTGCCTGATCTGGGCAGGGCCTCCGTGGCACGGGGACGTCTCCTGCAGCTGCCGTCACTCTCCCTGCCTCCCAGGTGAGCCTCACCTGCCTGTGCATGTCCTCCACCTCCTCCAGTCGCTGACTGGCATCATGGGGACCCTGGACCAGCTCTCTGAAAACAAGTTTGGGGATGGCTGGGGTGAGGAGAGCCCCCCAGCAGCTAGGGCCGAGTCGGACCTGCTCCAGCTCAGGGCTCAGCTGCTGCTCCTGGAGGCTGGGCAGTTGTAGCTGCTACCGTTGAATAAACCCTGAGGAGGACGGTGGGAAATGGACTCTCTTGATTGCAGGCGGGGCCGGGGTGCATTCTGTGTCCCTGAATGGTGCCAGGGCGTGAGTGGGCTCTCTGAGAAGGTGATGTGGTGGCAACTTCTCTTTGGGGACAGCAGTTGCCTGCTTCGGATGAAGCAGTGACACGGGCTCTGGGTGGGAGAAGTAAGGTGAGCTGCCAGTGGATGCTACATAGGGCGGGTGTGGGCTAGGTGGTCTTCCCCAGACCTGGAGACTCCCAGGTTCCCCGGGAGGGCAGCTGGTAGGGGGTGGAGGGTGGGAGTCAAGACGCCCGTCTAGGCAAAGCTGGGGTAGAAATGAGACGGGGAGAATTCGGTCCTGCACTAGCTGAGAGACGGCCCCGGGTGTCTGAGCTGGGCCGTCTGATGGTGGCTGAGGAGAGGTGGGCAGCAGGTGTGGACCACCTGGGAGCGCTCCCTTCCTGTGCCCCCTCCCCGATGCGGGTGGTGCTGGGTGGGGTGAGGTGGGCCGTGTACTCACTGTGGCTGCACTGCCGCCCGCCGCGCCAGTCCTGGCCTGTGTCTGCCCAGCAGTTCCGGGTCCGGGTGGGGTACTCGCTCCCAGCCTTGGAGAAATTCCCCACTTGGGGGCCATAGTAGACCCCCTGGGAGCCCAGTCCACCAAAGCCAGCCACGGGGGGGTAGCTGGAGAGGAGGCTGCTGTTTGGCGTGGCCGCCGGCCTGCTCAGGATGTCTGTGATCCCGTGGGGTGTCCCGGTGGCCAGCTGGGGGCCCAGCCCTGGTGGGCTGAGCTTGTAGAAGGAGTTCTGCACGGAGTACTGGCACACGGGCGCCTTCACCTCCGAGAACTGAGCCAGCGGCGTGTTGTTCAGCAGGAAGGTGCCCTGCAGGTTGGACTCCATGATCCCCAGGACCGGGGCAGGGAAGGCGGGAAGCCCACAGCCGGGCCCTACAGCCCGAGACCCCGCGCTGTGGCCCAGACGCCCATGGCAGGTTCGGAGGGTCAAAAGCAGCCCTGAGCCCAGGACTGCCCTCCCACCTAAGGCATCCGGCACAGCCCTTGCCCAGGGACCGGCACCCACGTCAGCTGCTCGGAAGTCAGGTGCTCCCGGGCAGGTGAGAGGCCTCACCAGCTCCGCTTCCCTCTCTCCCTGCCCAGCCTGGGGCAAGGCGGCTCCCCACGCCTCAGCTCAGACCCCTCCTCTGCCTCTGAGTCTGGGGACCCTCCATGAGAAGTTTTAAGTTCGGAGAAGCAACATTTCCCTGATAAAGGTATGGCCCATTAGAATACAGGCCTGAGACTGGCTGAGCTGCGAGAGCCGCGTCGCCATTGGTCGAAACCCTCACAGGCCTCACATTGGCTTTTCCTAGACAAATTGCACTTTGAAAGATTGACTGTAAAATCAGCCAGGGTGTGTGTGTGTGTGTGGGTGGGTGTGGGGTGTGTGTGTGTGTGTGTGTGTGTATACATGTGAGAGAGAGAGGGAGAGAATGAGCTCTGGAAGCTCTGTTCATTCTCAAAGGGTCCACTGCTCCTGGTCCCCCAAGTCCAGCATCTAGGAAAAGATGGGTACCCGAGGGGCCCCTGGAGGCTCCTGAGGCAGCTGGAAGTCACAGTGCCTGAAGCTGCTCCCCTGAGGGCCAGGAGGCCAGGCTCAGAGGTTGCTGTCCTGGGGTGCTCGGGCCCCTTCCTGTGCAGATGCCCAAGCCTCTCGGGGAGTGTGGAGCCTGCATGGATGCTTCCTTGCCTCCTCCGTGCTGGGATGGGTAAGTGGGGAGGCTGGGCTTTGAGGCGAGGCTGCAAATCCCTGTGCCTGGCGTGGGAGCCTAGCATGCAGATTGGGGCTGGGGGTGGGGGTGGGGCAGCTCTGGGAGTGCTGGGTGTGTGCTCTGCTCAGATCCCCTCTGTCCTCCCTCCCTCCTCCTCTGAGGAATCATTTGTGTCTCTGCTGGAGCAATGGCCGTGTTCCCTCTGGCTTGGCACCTGGGCTGGAGATCCTGATGGCTGAGACACTGTTGATTCAGCAGTGGTCTCTGTGCTGGGCACTTGGTTGGTGCTCAGTAAACATTGGATGGATGGGACTAGATTGAATCGCAGAGCACCCATATGACTTTCTTTTCTAATGAACTTTTACAACACACAAGGCTCTACTGGGGGCACTGCCCCATTTTACAAACAGGAAAATTGCAGTAAATAACTTGGGTTATTCTGTCTGGGGCAGCAGCCTTTTTTACAGTTTTTGTTTTTTTTAAGTGGAAACCAGCATGCTACTGGTCTGAGCATGCAAAATGACAAGGAAAATAGTGACTGCCAGACAGCTGGCCTTTTGTCTGTCCTCTGCCTGGCAGTCCCAAAGCCTTTCCTGACCAGGCTGTGGGCTCCTTGGCTCTCTCACCACGCTATGGTCGCACTTTGGCAGGTGGGAGACGAGGTGCCCTGGGCCGGCCTTCTCCTTGGTTTCCAGGGGGAGGCCGAGGGCCCAGGACTCGAGGAGGGCTCCCCTGTCACACAGAGCCTGACTCTCCCCACAGCGCTGCTGTCTGTTCATGGTGGAATTGTTCTCTCCAAGCCATGCTCTCTGTAGCATAAACCATGTGGTTTAAGGCAAGAAAGACCTCATGAAGGTCGTAGAGATTGTTTTTCTAGAAGTTTGGATTAAAAACAAGAAAAAAGGTTCTTATCCATCTGAGGTGGCTGTGCTACCATGCTGCCCATCACAGCCATTTGGGAAACTTAATTCCGAATCCCAGGGTTGGGCCGACCCCACCCGGCAGTCGGGGTTCTGAACCCGTGTTTGTGGAAACCCTCCTGGAGAGGCAGTTGCACAGCAGGGCCGGCCCCTGGGCCTGGGTGGCTTTTCTGATAGAGAGAAGCTTCAGAGTCAGACTGAGGGCTGGGAGTGCTCCCAGGACCCTGCCACTGTGACTTGTCACCCCTAAGGATGGGAACCTATGAGGAAGAAAGGCTGGATTCTTATTTAATGCCCAGCTTGACAAAGGCATTCATGTTCAGGAATCCCAGCCTGACAAACTGAAGAGACACTGCCAATTCTTCCATCGACGGGTGAGCAGCGGAGGCCACCTGGTGACCAGCCGTGCGTGAAGTGTTAGGAACTCCGCAATTTTCTCTCAAGTTCTTGAACTTTGAATGGCAGTGAGTGCAGGGGCCAGACACCGTCACAGGGAGCGCTAAGGGGTCCCCCTCAGCGTATGGCAGCTGTGGGCTCAGCCATGGACCTGGTGGTTTGCGGTGCCCCTCCACCTACCTTGGACTTGCCCCCTGCTGGTGGTGGTCATTAGGCGGGACAGAAATCCGCTCTTCCACCTCGGGGGTTGGGGGTCTTCTCTCAGAGTGGACCGTCCAGGTTTCCAGGAGGTGGGGACCTCCCTGGGGTGCAGGCCACCCCCTGACTGATCCCACCCCCAGGCTCCTTCAGGCCCCAACCCGGGCTTCACTCAAACTCCCCAAGGACGAGCCAGGAAGGACCGCCGGAGCCCTGAGCCATGAGTCAATTTCTTTCTTTATTTCGACATTTGTTCGGCTGGTGTGGGAAGGATAGTCTATACATCGGGGTGGGGTGGGGGGATTCTCTCCCTATAACAGAGCATGTGGGAGAGACTCAAGAAAAGATCCATTTTCATAACAATTAAAAAAATCAAAGTAATTCAAAACTTCTAAAAAGCATCTAATGTGCAGACTGCAGCATTCTCTAGGCGTCGCGTGGAGACCCCAACTGCCCCGTTACTAACAGCGCCTACGAGCAGCTGGGGCGCAGCCATGCGCCGCGGCCGGGCCGCCGGGCAAGCAGCCATGCCAGACGGAGCGCGGGTGCCAAAGCGTAGCCGGGCGCGGGCCCGGGGCTCTACGGGGCTGCGGGGGCGGCCGGGCGGGAAGGTGAGGCTCGAGGCGGGGGAGGCGAGCCCTGCTTGTCTTCCCTGGGCCTTGCCGGAATCCGTCCCGGCGGGCGCCCCGCGCTCCTGCGCCCCGCCGGGGAGGCTGGGTGCCTGCCCTCCGACACGGCCTCGGACCTCCAGACGGCTCCGGTGCGGGGACTGCCTCGCCCCTGCCCGCCCCTCTGGAAGCAAAAGCGAAACCGCCCCGAGCACCCCGAAGGCCCGGCTGGCCGCTCCCGGGACCTGTGCGCTGGTGGCAGGCCCAGGGCCGGGGAGCTGACATGAGGGGGCTTCTGTGCTACTCAGAAGGTGTGACTGTGTTCTGAGGACCCTCCGAAGAGGGCAGGGAGGAAGGTGACTGGACCCCGCGAACAGTGGCTCTGGGAGCGAGAAGAGCCTGCCAGTCTCTCTCCAGGCCCCAGAGGGCGCCCCGGGGGCGGCGGATTGTGCTGATTCGGGCCTCCTTCACCAGAGGCCCTACTGGAACTTTAAGGCTCTTCCCTGATGGCACGGAGGCGAGGCACAGCCAGCTGCCTGTGTCCTTCCTGCACAGCCGGCACCTGGCCCAGGACTGGCTCCTTCCTGGCCGGGCCTCCTGGTGGTCAGCTGCTCTCTCCTCCTCCAGCTCTCCTCCCTGGCATGCGGTCAGCAGTGGGCCCATCACCCGCCTCTCCAAGGGGCAGACCGGCTTGGTCAGAGGCTGTCCAGCCTAGGCGCCCCATCCTGTGGGCTGCCTGGACTTAGAGCACCAAGTTGGCTCCGGGAGACCTGGAGGGTGGTGGCTGAGTTCTAAGAACCGGCAGCTACATTCACTAACCCTACTCCCTTCCTTCCTCTTTCACTGAAAGACAGGCTGTAGCTCCTTCTCCCGCAGCCTGGAGAAGTCCTCAGGAGCTGAGCTGTTAGTGCTTGTACATACTGCTAAAGTGTTTCTATTGGTTTGCATAGTATTTATTGTTTTTCATATACACAGGCTGATTACTGTACAGTTTACACTTTGAACACAGACTATGATATAAGTGCTTGAAGATATAGAAAACCTCTTCTCTATTGAACATGCTGGTGCAATCCTGGGACAGCCACCGGCCCTCCCCCAGCTGAGAGAGAAGACCCTTTCTGAAGGGGCGCTAGCTCCCTTGGAGCCCTACAGCTAAGCCTGGGGGTCCTTGCCTCAGATTCTTAAGTCCCTAACACAAGGAACCCAGGTGCACTCTAAAGGTAATGATTTTCCATTGGAAGATGATTAATACTGAAACTGGCAGAGAGAGAGAGAGAGAGACAACATAAAAAAATTCCAGTTTATCCACAGGAGATTCTCTACAGCTTCAGACATCACAGTAAAATCTGTGTGTATGCTGAGTAGGGGCGAGAGGTGCCTGCATGTGTGTCCTGAATGTCATGGGAGGAGCAGTCTCCTGTGGAGGGGGAGGGACTGCCACAATGGAATGCAGGTGTGTGTGGGTGGGGAAGGCTGGCAGATGAGGACATGGGATTAAGGTGCTGAACTGATTTCATGCCTAGTTTTCTTTTTTTTTCCTTTTCCGGAAGCGCACATGGATTTCTCACAGATGAGGTTGAAAAAGAGTACCCTGTAACGAGTCAAAATTAAAACGATTTAAAAAAATATATCATCCCCAGCCACAAAAGAGCCCTTGTTCACCGCGTTCACGCGCTCTCTTGCGCTGGCTCTCCATCCCTCTCTCTCTCCCTGCTTCTTGCGGCTTTTGTCCTGTTGTCCTGTTTCCCGACAGAGATCCGTCGTCACTAGAGGCAGGATTGAGGACTGTAGGTCATGCGTCTACAGTCAGTCGTTGATGCGAATAGGAGACTAAAGGAAGCCCCTTACGAAGACCATGCCATTGCCTAGAGGAACGTGTGCGCCACTTCGTAGCCCTCGGTCCAGCTCTCCTCCTGTGAGCATAGCAGAGTGTGTGGAGTTCAAGGGTTGGGTGTCGAGCTGTGATCCTGAGGAACAGAGAGAGAGAAGGAGTCACTTAGAATTTAAAGGTGCAACTCTCAGCAAAAACCCCAAATACGGAGTTTTGTGCTGGCTGCTCAGGCAGGGTCTGATTCAGGAAAAGCAGCTGCCCCAAGCAAGGTGACGAGCTGAGAGGCATTGAGCTTGGAGCCCCTGACCTTCCTGAAACACCAGCCATCATTCCCTCAGCTCCCCAGCTCCCCAGCTCCGAGGCTGCCTCTCAGCGATGGCTGCCCAGGCCTACACTAGCTCCCTGTTGAGCAGATGAGCTCCCAGAACACCCTCCAGTGTGGGTGCTCTGTGCCTCCGAAAGGAGCAGAGGCTCCCATGCCTATGCAGTCACCTGGGGAGAAATTCCCATGAGAGATCCTTGTACCTAGGAAAGGGGCCATTTTCATGAGCCAGGGCTTTGCCAAGAAAGAGGCTAGGCCAGGCAGCGGTGCCCTCCACTTTTTCAGTTCAGTACATGCATTGATGTCTGCTGTGTGCCAGCCCTGGGGGCCCAGAGATGGAACACACGGGATCACAGCCTCAGGAGCTCTTTGGCCTCATGGGACGACAGTGCCCCTTCAGCTCTGGCCCACAAGCTCTTACTCTCAAGTGCCTCTGGCCTCTCTCTGCATCCCCCGTGGATGGACAAGCTGTGTTGTGGCAGAGAGAGGTTTGGAAAACAGATGCTTTCCCCCTGGGATATGGTGTGTCTTAGGCTGGAAGATAGCAGCTTTGCCTGCAGAGTGAAGCCCAAATTCTGCAGCCTGGGATTCACAGCCAGACACCACCCCTGCCACCCATGGTGCCTCGTCCTCCAGCCTGGGGTCGAAACTCCATGTTTCCAAGACTAGCCACTTGGGATTCTGTCCACAGGGACCTTGGGCTGGATGAGGAAAAGAAGGACACTTAAAGAGGAGTTGACAATCTCCTGGGTGGGGTGGGAAGTGACATAGAAAGGCAGAAACTCATTCTGAGACAGAGCTGTCCCCAGACAGGGAGCTGTCTTGGGCTGAGCTGGTGGCAGAGTTGAGGAGGAAGCTGGACGTGCCAGGTGAACTGGCTGAGGGGTCCTCCGGGGGTGGGAGGGTGGTGCTCAGTTCCTTGACAGAGGCTGCTGTAAAGCACAAACGTGGCCTTCTACTGCTGCACTTGAACGAGCTGACACCCTGGAGGGCAGGACGCCTCCACCACCGCCGGGCCTCCCTGTCAGCCAAGGCCTCTCCTCTGAGTCTCCCGGACCCGCAACGCGCACCTGCTGGCTCCCTGCCTCTGTTGGCGGCTCTCTCTCCCCTGAAGTTCTGCCCACCACCCCCAATACCTCGCCTCCATAAAGCCTGCCTGACAACTCCAGCTTCCTTATTTCTCTCCTCTCAACTCTGGAAGCTCTCCTCTCGGGTCACTACCTTTGTTGAGAGTGATCACCGAGTGTAGTGGTTAAGAGCATGAACTCTGAAGCTGATTGCCTGAGTTCATATATCTGCCTCTGAGAATTTCCTGCTGTGCGACCTCAGTCAAGTTACTTACACTCTGTGACTCAGTTTCCTCTGCTGTAAGACGAGGGCAATAATAGAACACACCTCATTAGATTGTTGTGATGTTTAAAAGAGCTCAAGATATATAAAGTGCTTAGGACAGTAAGCAGTATGGGAATGTAAAGGATGACAGGGCTCTCTGGAATGCTCCCGTCTTTGTCCTGTCTTTCCTTTCTCCTGTCTGCATTATTGCCCTGGCTGGACAGTAAACACCCTGAGGGAAAGAGCCAGGCCTTACCCTTCCCGGTGGTCCCCCCAGTGCCTAGCCCAGTGCTAAGCACGCCTCAAATAAGAGACCTTATGAAATCGTGAGCCTGCGAAGACAGGCTGCGACCTCCCACCCACGCTTCTGCCCAGACACAGAATGGGTGAGGACTGAATAGAGGCAGAGGAGAGAGGTCAAGGCTCAGAGAGCATTCTGCCGTCATGGCTCATTTCATCTTTGGGTGAGCTGAGACTCCGGGCCAAGCAGTGCCCCATCCAGCGGGAGCACCCGGGAGGCAGCAGGGGGAGGACTGCGATGCAAGTCTTCCACCACCCTGCACCTCTCCTCCTGGGTGCTCCTGCAGAAAGCTCTTACCCCATAAAGAGCTTAGAAAACAGCCCCCTGCCCCTCCTAGTGGCTGTGCTGGTCAGGTCTCTTCTTCATTTCAAATCTCTGCGGTGCACCACCTGTTCCCACCCCCAACCCGGGGTCTGTGGCTCTGTCACCTCTCCCTGATGCTAATACACCTGCAATGTCTAGGAGGGAGGCTGGCTGTAACTTAAACCGCAAAATAAACCACCATCCCTTGCCTCCCTGCCCTCTCCCATTGAGATCACCAATTGATTAATTTTAAAACTTACTAAAATATTCTATTTAGTCAGTGCTAACACAGCTCTTGCAACCACAGTGTCTGAATGGAAAGTGTCTCTTAAAATGGAAAACCAACAAAAGCAGCCGCCTTTTCATGCTGCAGACAGCGGAGCCACACAGATGCCCTGCCCCACCCCAGCCTCCTGCTGCCCTGCTCCATGCTGTCGCTCTAGCAGCACTGACACCCTCATTCTTGGAACTAAATACTTGGGCGCGAAGCAAAACCCACCAGCTGCTACCATCTGCCACAAACAATCAGGCCTTGACTAAACAGCAATTTTCTAGCTTCTTAAATGCAACTAGAAACCACCCCTCCCCCACCTGCCAGGCCTTAGATGCAAAAGCCTTCCCAGGGTCGGGAGAGATTGTGGGGGAATCAGAACGGGTGACTGGGGTCTATTCAGTCCTAACCCGGGATGGGGGTGTGCCACACCTTTGAACAAACTATAACCATCATTCATCAGCTCACCATCATTCATTTCAGCTCACCTTTTAAATATAAAGTCTACAACTGTGCCACATCAGCTCTAGGAGGTTTGGAAAGGAAAACCAAAATCTCATAACTCACTCTTCAATATGCATAACAGTCACTTGAAGAGTTGGATGCAGAATCTTGAGTTCTAGAATTTTAATTCAGTAGGTCTGGGGCAGGGACCAGGAATCTGCATTTTAACCGGATCTCGGACGACTGTGATGCAGGGATGTGGATGACACTTGGAGAAACAGTGGATTAGAACTTGACAATTTCTAAAGCCCTTTCACAAACATAAACTTCGATCACCATAACCACCCTACAGGGGAAATATGGGCATTACGGCTGTTTTATGGCTAAGGAAGCTCAGGCTCAGAGAGGTCAATTGACTGGCCCAGGTCAGGCTACAAATAAGATCCGGGATTGAGTGAGGGCCAGAATACATGTTCTCCTTACTCTTCATAGCAGCTCTCACAGCTACCATGATTATCTTTAAACCTTTTTATGGAAGTGTAACACACATTCAGAAGGGCTCTTTTCATCCTCCCTCGAGGAGATGGACGCTCAGGGCAGTTAAATGACCTGTGTAAGGTAATACAACCCGGAAATAGGGGGAGCCAGGCCTTGAATCTAGACTCCCAAGCGTCAGCTTTCACTCTCTTTGGAACAAATACAGTCCCTTGTCATTACTCACAATAGTTATGATCTACAAAGTTGCCTTGAACACTGACTTAGCCAATACCGAACTGCGGCCCCTAAGGAGGATCCAGCGTTAGGTTCCCACAGGCCTCTGTTCACAACACTTCTGTCAACCAGTAAATGCATCAGCTTGTCTTATGTCTGCTTCTGTTTGAAGACACCTTATTCAATATATATTGTTGCTTCACTAACAGTGAACTCATGGCCAGCAGTGCTCACGCCTGAACAAAGCTTATCTCACACAGTTATCTTCCCCGGAAGGCACATCCCAGCCTTGCTGCTCTTAGGACACTAGACAGCACTTCAGCACTAGGCTTGGGGGTCATTTTGAACGATGAAATCACCAACAAAAAGCACAAATATGCAAAAAATGTGGCACTAAATAGACGGAAACAAGGACTCTTGTTTACACTATGAGAGCTGAAACATGGAGGCGAAGTGTCGCCTGGTTTGATCTCAGCTAGGAACATGCACGCAGGGCCACTCCAGTTTTTCACCACTGTGCCCACAAATGACAAAAGCGCTGTGAGTGCTGGTTTCGGGGTTAAAATAACTTTTGCAAGTGTGGCATCCACGAATAATGAGGACTGACCGCACATGCGTGCGAGTGGGTGGTTGGGAGTGTCAAGGACCTGAGAGCCTCAGCCCATCGCTGTCTCCTCTGTAGTCTTTGTCTTGTTGGGCTGGCAGAGCGCTGTAGGCCGCCGCCCAGGCTCTTTGGGACCTAGGCAGGAGCCTGCCTCCATGCTGGCTCGCTCACCACTGTCCCCACCACACGCTTCCCTGGCCTTTTCTTGGTGGAGGTCCCAGCACTGTCTTGGAGCCAGGCTGCTCGGTGGTCTGGAACCGCATCCCCTGTGGGGGGTTCAGCCACTTTGCAGATCATCTACAGAAAATTCAAAAAAGAAATGTCCAGGTTCCACCCTCCCCACCAGCTGGCTTCTAGGCTGCCTCTCCTCTGTTCAGGCACATCAGGAGAACCTGAGCCAGACAGAAGCTGGAACTAAAGCTGCTGCTGCTGCTGCCGTAAGAAAAATAAGGCAGAAGACGGTCCTTTCCCTTCCACTCGCTGCTTTTTCAAATTATTTGCACCTTGGGATTATATCCAGGACTGATCACAGCTGATCTCCTAAACCAGCAGCCTGGCGGGACCCCTGGCAGTGCCGGGGTTAACACAGTGACCTCCTTAAGCTGCTGAGGAGTCAGGTCTAATTTTATCCCCTAACTGGATCCGCAGACCTCTTTTTTGCCCAAGTGCTGCAGCATGTCGGGAAGCCCTGAGTTAGCACTTCTGGCGGCTTGGAGGCAGTGGCCTCGCTTTTTGCTGCATGCAGAAAGCCGGAGCCTGTGTGCCACCTGGCCCAGACGTAGGCCCTGACGGTTCAGTGGCAACAACCTGGTTAGTGCTGTGCTGGGGCCACAATGCTTCCTCACTTCCTGCCGACTCCCACCCCGATGCATCCTGTACTGAGCTGCCCCGAGCTGGGCACAGCGAAGGGCCTCGGGGCAGCTCAGTACAGGATCCCTCAGGGAGGACGGAGGTCAGAGCTGGCCGCTGAAGCCCCCAGCACCACACGGGCCCGCTGGAGAGCCTTCGCCGCAGCGTCTTCTCGCTCCCCCCGCCCCCCTGACCATTGACATCACCACACACCCATGCTCCTCAGCCACGCTGCCCCCATGCTCATGCATGTCATGCACTAAGCCCCGCCAACCCTCCTGACTTGCAGGGAGAATGCCATCCACCCCTTAGGCCTGTTAACTTTGCCCTTTCCTAGAAAGCAAGGGAGCGACATGTTTCAAGAAGCACCAAGGAGAATGGAAGCCTTGGGTTCGTCAGGACTTTCGAAGCGTTCCAGGTTCAAGAGATAATGCGGTTCTATGTTTGTCACTGTTGGACTTTTCCCGAGGACTTGCATGGAAACAGCACAGCCTAGACAGACTTTACTGTACCCTCCACTGCCTGGTCCCCCATCCTCCAGATCCCCAGGGCTTGGTTTCCAGGATGACATTACTCCTGAGTTTACTGAGTGCCTTCACTCCTGAAAGCATCTTTACAAATCTGTATTTTGCACTCCCTGAGAGGGAGGTCAGCAGATACTGTTGACTGTTTTCTTGACGAGGAAACCGAGACTCAGAGACACAGTTAGGAGGTGAGGAAAACTCCTTCTCATCTATGCCTCGAGACCACTGCTCATCCTGCATCCTGCTGGGGATGGGGGAGACGGCACGGGGGACGGTGAGGGGGTGTTAGGAAGTGAGCAGCCATTCCCAGGACCAGCCTCTCCACCAGGACCAGGCCATGCAGAAAGGATGCAGATAAATGGCATTACCTCCAAAGAGGCCATTGGAGGGGAGGGGCTCGATGTCACTGTTTCCCCCTCTTCAGGCTGGCCCGCTTCACTATCTGAGCTCCCTTCCTGCCCTCTATCAGGTCTGGCTGCAGGCTACTCCCTCTCAGCTCCACCTGGAGACAGCAGCAGAGATAGAACGCAGGACAGATCACACAGAGAGACAAGTGAGAAATAGGTGAGAGACCGAAAGGCATCATATGGAGGCCCCGCCAGGGGAAGGGAGGCTCGAGGTGGGGCCCAGAGAGAGGAGAGCATGGTGCAGACTGAAACCCAAGGTGGGCAGGTGTGGAGGTGAGCAGCAGGTAAAGGTGCCGGCCACTCGGAAGGGCGAGCGCCTCGGGGGCTGCAGCCACCGCAGTACCTTGGCGTGTTTCATAAAGTAATCAATATCAGCTTCCAGCTCACTAGGATCCTCCAGGGGCCCCTCAACAATCACCTCCTCGTGCTCCTGGGTGTCATCGGCACTAGGTGTGTCTATCTGCCGAACTACTTTGCGAACAATCTGGAAGAGAGAGGGAAGGGAGAAAGGGCTGGTGAAGCCGTCAGGGCAGACTTGAGAAGAGCAAGTCCCAGGAACAACATGGAGGAGAGGCAGCCTTTGTCCTAAGGTGGCCCAGAACAGGGCCGGGCCTCTCATCCCCATCACTGAGGGGACAACTTGCATTGGACAGCATCAGAGGGGCGAGAATTTGCAGAGGGGCCTTAGCAGGTTTCATTAGTGGTCAGAATCTGACCACGTGTGATTTCTGTCTCCAGCCCACAGCACTTCATGCTCCCTCTTGGTGTCAACGGAAGTTCACGCTGTCTGTCCTCCCCAGGTGGCTGTAAGCTCTGGAGGGCAGAGGCATTTCTTTTTCATCTACAGTAATTTGATGCAATCTTCCCATTGCCTTATTCATTCATCTAAATATTCTAACCACCGTGTACTCTGCACCTGCCATGTGCTAGGAGCGAAAGATGACAATACATAAAAGACACGCTCCCTGCTCACTGTGCAGAAGGAAAGACGGACACAGGGGTCTCACTCCACACAGTGGAGCACACACATGACTTCCCTTTGCTCCTCTTCTCTCTTTTGCCCATACCTAGACAGAGCCCAACCATAACGGGCAAAATCGTGTCTACTGAACTAAAATCTGCTACCAATTCAATGCATTTCCACATCCTTTTCATTTTAGGAGGCCCGTGGCAGTCCAGGATCACCAGTCTGCTGTCTTACAGCTGTTTTCAGGGCTAGGCATCATGGACTAGGTTTGGGCTGTTCCACAGTGCCCAGTCCTTCTGGAACAAAGTAGCAGGAGCTGAACTCAGGCTGAATCAGGCACAGTGGCTATGAGGAATGTCACGTGCGGATGGGCAGACAAGGGCTCCTGGCACCTGAACCATCTCTTCTGGGCTGTGCTGCCCCTCCATTAGGGCAGCAGCGTGAAGCCGGGAGGAGCGTCCACAGCCTTCTAGCTTCTAGCCCACCTGCCTCTCCCCAGCTCCGGGTGATTCTCTGCACCCACCTTCTTGGTGACAATGTTGCCCTGCTCATCTGTGAATTGTTCCTCTGTCACCTGCTCCCCTGGAATATTCTGAAGCTCATTCCCCTGGAATGAGAAAAAGGGAGAAAACTCGAGATTGATAAGTGGGAGTTTGAGAATAAGAATGGAGGATGAAGAAATAGCAACAGCAGCAGCCACAGTCCAACAAATCACCACCGTGGCAGGAAACTCCAACTCAGCAAGTCATGGCAGCCAAACCAACGCCCGAGTGTGAGAGGCGCCCTGTGGAGCTGTGGGGACGAGGACAGGATGGAGCCCCAAGCTTGTGAGAGCTCTGTGTGCTCACCTGCCACAGCAGCACCGGGAGCAGGCAAGACAGCGACAAGTATGCAAGTTTTACTAGGAGGCCCTGAGAGAGGAAGTGAGGGGCCTAATTTATATTTCTACAGCACTTTACAGTGTAGAAAGCCCTTCCACAGACACCGACACCCTGAGCGTGACTTCCCACTTCCTGAAGCAGGTTGGGGACAGAAGCAGGACAAGAACAGGCTGCTAAGGCCCAGAGCCGAGCTTTCTCTGCCGTCACAGAGTGGAGGTCTGAGCTGGGACCGCACACAGCTCTGGCTCCCAGTGCCCATCCTGTCCCCTGAGGCCTTCCGGGCCCTTCTCTTCCAATATGTCTCCTGACCTGGAGTCCAGCGCCACCCCCAGCACCTCCCCACACAAAAGCACAGCACTGTGCCCCCAGCCTGGCCTCTGGGCCTCAGGCACTCCCATCTCCAGCCCCAGTCCTGCCTCCTGCCTGGCGGTTACCTTCAAGAAGACCCGCCGCCGGACCACCCTGGTGGAGATGGTCTCCTCGTCGTCACTCAGGCCCTCGCTCTCCCCCAGCTCCTTGTCCAGCTCCTGGTGGATGTGCTTCAGCACAAAGCACAGGGAGCCCTTGACAATATGCATCACGTTCTGACAGCTGACCAGGAAGAAGCCCAGGAGCACCAGGGTGACCAGGAGTTGGGTGATGAAAGTCCACATCCTCACCTCCTCCTCACCAGCCCGGACCTCGGGGGACCAGCGGAGCCAGCAGGTCCGGTTGCTGGGGAGGTCCCACCTCTCATTCTCCTCTTGGACTCCTGAGTCCCCCTGAGACCCCTTCCATTCTTGGCCCTCGGACCCCCACTTCTCTCTGGGCAGGAGACTGATGGGCCCCTCACTAGAACTGCCCGCCTGAATGCCCTCCTGCTGGGCAGCCCCAGGCTCTGCCCTCACGCCTGGGTGATGTCAGGCTTCGGTAATTTTAGCTCCCCAAACCAGCTGCTAGAGCTGTCCAACTGGGCAAGAAGGAAGCCGGCAGGTGCGCGTGTCCCAGGCATGGAAAGCGCATGTCCAAGTCACTGTGTGAACGACTCCCGCCCCGCCCCGCCCCACCCTGAGAGCTTGAAGCGGGGCTCACCCCTCGCCTTTCCTGCCTGCCTGCCCCTCTTCGAACCGAGGCAGTTCTGCCCAGGGAAATCTTCTCGTTCAGGGACTCCAGAAAATAAGGTGTCCGGGGAATGTGGCTACTTGTGTGTTTCCCTGGACCCTACTGCCATGATCAGAATGGTGTTCACCCCACCTGTGGGGATGGGACTGGCTAATACCCTGGAGAGTCAAAGGTTGATTTCAAAAATAGCCCCAGGACGACTGATTTGCTCAGGTCCAGCCAAATGTGCGTGGCAGGGTCCAGCACAGGTGGCGGGGCCACCTGGAAGCCCGAGCAATTCCCATCAGCCCCGTGGGCCCTCAGTGCCCCCCTTTACCAGGCACAGCAACCCTAAATGTAAGCGTGTAACTGGTGTGTCTATTTAAGGCCTGTCCTTAGAGGCTCTTCCCAGGCTGGGCTGTCAACGCCCACGAGCAGGAACCACGCGCATTAAAGTCGCCTTTACAGAGCAGATTCACAAAGGCAGCTGCAGCAGCTGTGGCTGAAAGGAATTCCACTTTGGGGATCAGGCTATTCCTCTTCGAGCAGCAGCCCACATGGCAGAGAGAACAAAGATCTGGGACACGGCAAACTGACCCTGCAACTCCCTCACGGGCAGGGCTGGGGAAAGCTGGTCCCTCTGGGCCTCAGTTTCCTCTGCCGTAAAATAGCGATTAAAGGGCTCTCTCCCTACCCTGTTCTCCCGGGGAGCATCACAGGGTTTCTGAGTGCTACCATGATGAATACTAACAGCACACCCTGACCACCGTGCACACCGCTCTGCAGGCGTCATTCTACATGTGTCGCACATGTTAACTCAGTCACGCCTCGTAACAATCCTACCACGCAGGTTCTGTAATTCTCCCATTTTTCACAAAGGAAATAGAGACACAGAGAGGTTAAGTAACTCGCCTACAGGAAAGAGTAAGCAAATGAAAGAGTCAGATTTCAAACTCCCATCCTTACACAATATGCCTCATTTCAACCCGAGAGCACCTGGAAACACAGACGCCCATAGCCCAAGCAACAGAGCTGGGCACTGGAGGGTGTTCGGTTTGGGCCCAGCCAAGAAGAGTCTAACTTCAGCTATTTCCACTCTGGGCCTCAGAGAAGGACTGGCTGGCTTATAGTCATTTCAGGCCCACCTCCCAAGCCCTAAGTACAGGGCATCTCTCTATTCCTCTGTCACTGTTTTCAGAGATCCACTGGAAATACTAGGAAATGGGTGCCTTGCAAACTGTCACCCTAAATGGGCCTCGTTATCATCCCTGGGGGCCCATCAGATGATTAAGACAATGTCTCATCCACACCATCCAATCCTGTCCTAGGCTGAGGAGGTGTTAGGCATGGCAGCCCACACACTCATTGCCACTGGGAAGCAGGAGATCGGGACTCTCCGGCCCTGACGTTTGCTCACTGTGTGACCCTGGAGAAGCCCTCAGCCTCTCTGGGCCTCAGTTCCCTCATTTATAAATGAAGCACTTGGCCCGTGTGACCTAGAAGGTTTCTCTCGTGATCCGTGGGGTGTCCTGCTTTTTTTCCAGTTCTCCCCTTACCAAGGCTGACTGCAGAGGGCGATGGAAAAGAATGCTCCTGAGGCCCTTCTCTCCCCCCAGGATTCCAGGGCGCAGACTGGTTAGGAGCGCCGGTGCTCTGGGCTGTGCGCCTGCTCCTGGGAGGAGAGGTGGGTGCCGAGGAACAGCCTGCAGCAAGGAATGCTGGGTGGGCTGGGGTTAAAAATGGACGCAGCCGCCTGTCCTGTCCCAGGCACATACTTGGCAGGGGAGCATTCTAAATAAAACCCTGTTTAATTCCTAGCAGCTTTTTACAGCCAGTAGCCCAGGACCATGTGGAGCCAACCTAGCCCTGGGGTCCTCAAAGGTGCCTGCCAGGGCTGCGGTTCAGATGGGGGAGGGCAGCGAAGAGAAGAAAGAAGCAGAGGAGAAGGAGAGGAGGAAATGGCTCTTGGATGAGGAAACGGGGCAGCCTGAACAGTAAGAAACCCAGTGAGACACAGCACACGTCGTTTATGCACACATCAAAAAGACGTACGCACAGAACAGCAACGCAAATCTCATAAAAACGCCTACACTAAAAAGACACACATTAATAAGGTGTCTGGGATTTGCTTCAAAACAATATGGGGGGGAGGGAAGAGGGTACAGGTGAAACAAGACTGGCCACGAGTGGGTCACTATGGAGCCTGGGTGGTGTGTACATGGAAAGTTAATGTGCTACCCTGTTTTTGTAATTATTTGCAATGTTTCATAATAAAAGATTTTTTTAAAAAACACATTAAAATGGATATTTATGGGAATGGGGAGGGGCAAGAGAATGGGAATGGAGAGTGAAGACAAAAGCAGAGAAATAAAATGAGTGAAGTAGAGCAAGCTGGAGGGGGGAGGGAGGAAGAGCGAGGACAAGGCTGGGCATCGGGAGAGGAGAGCAGGCTGGGGATGTTCTCCCCATATCATCTTCTGTTCCACTTGGTGAGCCCGCCCACAGAGTCACAGAACTCCCCAGCCCAATGAACCTTGGCCATAATCCACCGCACCTCAGTTACCAAAGAGGAAACCGCAGGGCTGAGGAGAGAGTGGCATGTCCATGGCCACGCAGACTGTGGTAGGACCGGAGGCAGCCTAACACCCAGTTCTCTCGGCTCTAAGCCTTTTCTAAAACATGGTGAAAAAAGGAAACAAACAAATCCATGGCTTTGGAGTCCGCGAGACCTAACTCAAAGCCCACCTCTGACCCCGTGACCTTGGGCAAGTTGCTCATCCATCAGCTGCCAGTTGGGAGTAACAGCTGAGAGCCAGGGCAGGTGTGAGGGTGATGGCAGCATAAGTGCGGGCCCCTCCCTTCCCTCAGGAGAGATGGAGGAGGCAGAGAGGTAGACAGAGACCTTGTATCCTTACTTCTAGAGACAGTGACGTCACCACTACAAGTTTTACAGAAAGGAAACATGCTAGGCTGCAGGCCTCGAGCCTCAGGCCTCAGCAGGCGCCTCCCTGCAGCTCTTACCTGTTCCATCTGGGAGAAGGTGCTCTCTGCCTCCTGTACCCATTCTTGGTGGCCTTGTTGTCTCTGTTCCCAGTCAGCCTGGGGGGTCTCAGCCTCAGCCTGCTCTATCTGCAAGTGCTCAGCTGCAGACACCGAGACCTTCTCATACTCCTGAGACCCACTGGGCTCCAGCCCTGTGATGGTGGTGACTGTTCTCGGGAATGAGTGTGGGCCTTGCGTGTCCTCCTCTTGCCAAGAACCTTGTGCAGCATCTTGCAGGTATGAGACAATGGAGCCTTCCTCATCCCAGTCCTGTAGTCTGGGGTCCAGGAAGAGAGAAAGAACACCTGGTCACCCTTCAGTCTCTGCTCTCTCAGATACCCTCCACCTCCAGAGCCCTGGCGCATCCAGCACACGTCCTGTACCGCCCACTCGAGGGACGGGAGAGCATGAGCAAATCACACAGCTGGCTGCCCTGTCCAGAAAGGCACAAATGGTCCATCCATGCTGTCCAGGCCACTGTCCCCTCCCTTTGAGTGACGGCTCCCTACTCTGGGCTCCCAAGGCACATGGCTCACACTGATGGTCCAGTCATCAGGGCTCCACGCCCATCATCTCACCCACCTCCCCTCCTGCCCTCCAGGCACTCACACTCAACAGCCCTCATCTCAGCGCTTATCTGACAAGGTTGTCACTCTCTCCCTGGAAATACGCTTTTCCACGGCTTCCAGGACACTATAGTTGCCCGGTTTAACCCCCTCCATCTCTGGTCACTCCTCAGTATCCTTTGTTGGTTCCTCCTAATTTCTCTGACTTCTGAACACTGGAGCGCCCCAGGACTTGGTTCTCAGACCTCATCTCTATCTTCATCCACTTCCTAAGAGAGCTCATTCAACCCATGGCTTACACCCCATCTGTATGCTCCGCATGCCCAGATGCATGTCTCCAGCATCTCTTCCTGGAACTGCAGATGTGTATATCCTACTGCCTCCTCAGCATCTCTGCTTTGGACAATAGGCATCTCAAGGACAGCATGGTCAAATCCACACTTAGGATCTTCTCCCCAAACCTGTCCCGCCCAGTCTTCCTCAGTGTCGTAAATGCCACCTTCATCCCTCCAGCTGTCAGGTCAAGGATACCAGTGAACTCTTTGACTCTTCTCTCTCACACTCCACATCTTAGTCATCAGCAAACCCTTTTGGTTCTACTTTCAAAAGTATATCTTGGGGCCAGCCCCGTGGCTTAGCGGTTAAGTGCGCGCACTCCACTGCTGGTGGCCCAGGTTCGGATCCCGGGCGCCCACCGACACACCACTTCTCCCGCCATGCTGAGGCTGCGTCCCACATACAGCAACTAGAAGGATGTGCAGCTATGACATACAACTATCTACTGGGGCTTTGGGGGAAAAAATAAATAAATAAAATTAAAAAAAAAAAGTATATCTTGAACACAACCACTTCTCGCCACCACCACTGCTACCATCTGGGTCCACATCACCATCAACTCTTGCCCCCTAGCACATCCTCCTGCTTCTACCCCTGGCCACGTCAGGCTATTCTCCAGGCAGTTGCCAGATCACCTCACTCCTCCGTTCAAAACCCTCCAATGCTCCTCATCCAACCCAGTAAATGCCAAAGTCCTTCTAGGACCTGAAGGCCTGACGTGTCTGGCCCTATAACCTCCCTGACCTCATCTCCCTTGATCACACTGCTGAAGGCATGACCTTCTCACTGTTCCTTGACTGTGCCAGGCATGCTCTACCCAAGGCCTTTGCACTAGCTAGAGCCTCTGCTGGCTATCTCCCCTCAGGTATTCACCTGGCTCACCACCGAATTCCTTTAAATCTTTTCTCTAACATCACTCTCTCAGGCTGCCCCAGCCACCCTGTCTATAATTTCAACTACCCCCTCTTCACACACATACACACCTCCTATCCATCCCCTTTCTCTGCTTTAGTTTTCTTTTTAGCACTTATTATCCAGCATTTCTCTTTTAATTACTTTTATTTATTTTATCTTATTTATTGTCAGTTTCCCCACTATAATGTAAACTTCTTGCAGGTACAGACTTTTGTCTGTTTTGTTCAATGCCATGTCCCCAGCACCCAGGCACTCTTCATACGTGGCTGGCACATAGTAGGCCCTCAGTGCATATTGTTGAGTGAGTGAATGACATTTTTCTATCCCCATTGGAAGCCTGACCAAGGTCACAGGGCCCAACTCTGTAACATACCAAGGCCCGGCACTCAAGCCTTCTGGTTTCCCATCTAGTGACCTTGCTGCCACTGGTGCCAAGGCCAGCACACAGCGAGCATGCGATCGATGCTGGTTGGACACATGGCCACCACAGCTTGTTGGAAAATGGCCTCTCTCGCAGGAGTGCCAATATTTCACTTTGAATTCTCACAGGCTCAGTCTGTCCAATTCTCCCTGCCAACTAAACAATTTGTTTGGGAAGCTAAATGAATCCTCGCTGTCCCATCTTCTAAAAGACTTTCTTTTCCCTCCTACTATGGTACTCAGGCCACAGAGAGTGGACCTTGGGGCTTCTGAGTCAGCCTGAGGGGCAGCAGTATAGGAAAAGGAAATGAGAACAGATGTCCCACAGCGTGGCCCAACCTGAGCTCCTTGGATGGCCACAGCCTCCTGGGAGCACATGAACCACCTCCTTGCTTTAGGGAAAATCTAGGAAGCACAGCAATATGAGGAAAGGGCCACTGTCACTCACTTCCTGTGCCAGTCCAGGAAGGCCAAAGTGACACCCATCACATGTCTGTGTCCTTTCCCTCTCCCCCGCAAGCCTCCTCTGCACTCAGCACAGCACGGGGGGTGTGGTGGGGGTCCACCGCAGGGCCGTGAGTCGGGCTGTGGCCTGAGGACTCCCAGTGTCTGCAGAGATGCCCAAGGCCCTGCCGTCCGAACCACCAACGCTGCTCCCCCGTTGCCAGCGCAGGACCAGCCTTCTCCTCACAGGGAGCTTGGTGAGGAGTTAGCCAGGAGAACAACCAGCTCTCAACAGCTGAGAGCTATGTCCCATCCCCGATAAGCCTCACTCTTTCAAGGGGGTAAAATAGAAAGGGCACCATTATCAGCTCTGTCACAAGCAGGCTGTGACTGCACAAATAACTTCCCTGGGCCCTGGTGCTCCAGGTTTCTAAATATGGTCTTCAATAGTCAGCACGCAATAGCCATAGGGGCCTGCCTGGAATACCTACTCCAGCTAGAGACGTGGTTTCACCAAGCTTTATAGTCTCTTTCCCAAGCATGCTCTCCCCTGTCCCAATGCCCTCAGCCTCTCTCCTGCTGGCCACACCCAGGGGGTGTCTTGGGGAGGTACTGGCCTTTGCAGATCACAGCTCCTCTCTCACATGACAGAGGCCTGAGTGCGGCTGGGCAGCTTCACAGGCAAGCTGGCGCCATACATGAATTTATGTGCTCTGGGGCATTTAGAACACAGGGTCAGTCAGCAGCATCACCTAAGAATTCCCTCTGTGCTCACTGCCACGCACAATCTCACCGGGAAGCCCAGGGAGACAAAAGGCCTCCCGCTGTGGCGGCCCAGCCCTTACCTGTCCTGGCTCGTCTCCATCACCCGACTCACGGTGGGCGATTCTGTGATGTGGGCTTGCACCGTCTGCTGGCCTGAAACAAGAGACACTTCATTCTCTGAGTCCTGCCCTGCACCTGTTGAGTCCTCCTGCCTCTTATGACCTGGCAGCTTCTCTTCTGACCTCTGACCATCCTCCTGGTCAAACAAATCGATAAGGCTATTTGTGGCATCTGAATCCACTGTGTTGTCCTCCACACCGTCCACAGAGCCCAGCAGGTGGCCCTGGAGTTGCTTGGGGAGCGTGTCCTGCGGCTTCCACTCGTGGCCGGTGGCATCAGAGTCCTCGGCCTTGCTGCACTCCAGAGAGGAGTCCTCAGCAGTGACCAGGGAGGGTGTGAGGCCCGGGGACCACAGCTGCATGTCAGACATCTCCAGCATGGTGTCATGCTCCGTGGCCGCCAAGGGGATGTCTATGAGGGCCACTTCGTTCCAGTACTGGTCTGCACGCAGAGGAGAGGGAAGCGCGTAGTGCAGGGAGGCAGGGGACAGCAGCTCGTCCTGCAGCGAGGAGTAACCTGGATGGGCAGACAGAGGGCAACATGCTCCAGAAGCGATTTTTGTCACACACGCTTACGTGCAAGTCCACGCACACGCACACAGGCACAGCCATTGATACGCATGCACATTCCGGGCAAGGGGCTTTCCAAGCTCAAAGTCCAATGTTCAGGCCTTGTGGCTGCTGCCCGGGCACCTGGGCAAGAGAAACAAGGCTCTGAGTTGGGTGGGGGGCAGCCAGGAAGTGGGGTGAAAAGGAGGGCTCCTTTGCTAGATGACAAAGAGAAGAGACTGGAATTCTTTGTTATCCAGTTCAGAGCGCTAGATCAAGAAGACTTGATCCAAAGGACTTGTGCTCCAACCTGTCTCGAATCAGATGAGAGTCCCACTTCTCGATGGCTGCGCAGAAAGAAATGTTGCTCTTTCTTTGCTCAAAACTTTAGCACAGTCCTTGGAGTCTCTATTAGGAACGTACCTTAAAGGGACGGAACAGCCCCCAGAACCAGGGTCTGTAACCAAGCTGCCTTGGAGGGTCTAATGGGGCACACTGAACATCCACAGACCCCGGTGCAGCGGTCAAATGGGAAACCTTTTGGTTTGGGATGAAGCAATTTTTCCTCAAGTTGCGGAACGGTTCCAGAAACTCTGAATGACCTAAGGTGGTACACGTGAGTTTTCTAAGGGTTCAAAATGGCGCCAGGTCAGAGGGCACCAGGAGGGGTTAGGCCCACCTGCCACTTCGGGACTCTGCCTGGAGCTAGTCATCCCAGCTCCGGGTCAGCAGTGACCTGGTGGACTGAAGCCAGCTAGCTCAGGCCCAGTGCTTGGCCCTGGGGGCAGCACAGCCTGTTCATACGTCTGTTCCTTGCTGCCTGGCCCAGACTTGAGTCCCTGCTCATTTCCTGCCTGGCTCTGGCATTGGCTCTCTGATGTTCAGAAGTGACCAGGAACCTGAGTGAGTAGCACATGGAAGTGTGTGAGGAATTTGTATGCGAGTTGAATGGGCTGTGTTCTGTCAGGTGGCTCCTCTGCTCTCCTCTAGCCAGGAGTGAGGGTCCCTGCGACAGGAGAAAGAGGGCCTCTGACTCCCCTTCAGAGCAGGTGCCAATCTGTGGGTGGGAGGAGAGGCTAGAAGACAAGAGTCTCCATTTGGCTGAGCTTGTCTGGGGAGCTGGGGAGCAGGTGTGTGCCTACAACCTTTGAGGACCCAGCAGAGCCACAGGAGGACCTTGGGTAGGGTGGGGCTGCCCCCTGCAGGGTCTCTATGACCTTCCTGCCATCCAGAGAGGCCTCTAGCCTAGTGTCCAGACTTCATCCTGCCATTCATCCCTCGCCACCTGCATCCAGCTCTTCTTTAGGCTCAGCCTTTCTTGCAGCCAAACAGGCTCCCCTCATTCCCAGCTCTGGGCCTCAGCTCCTGCTCGCCCATCTCTTCTCTACTTGACAATACTATCTCCAGTTATCCTCATTCACTCACTCATTCAACCAAAAAACATTGAGGTCTGATGACATGCCAAATACCATGCTAAAGTGTTGGGGATTACAGACAGACACACACAAAAACAAGACACATTCTCTTTGCCCTCTTTTTCATGATGGTTTCCCAACGACTTCAGCTCACCTTGATTTCCCCCATCTTTGAACTTGTCCTGTGTTCCCTCACTAAGCTGGTTCATGGAACTGTACACTTTTTGAGGGCAGGGATGGTGTCTACCTTTTCCTCCCACTTGCCTAGGACAGGATTGGGAATCCAGTGGCCCCAATGACTACTGCGGAGCTCTGCAGAGGTGTGAGGGAGACACAGGATGGACATAGGAACAGATAGCCTCACCCATATTTAGTAAAACCACAATTGCTAATGATTACCTGTGTGCTCAATATGCAGGGAACCATGCTACGTGCTGGACACATTCTCTCTCTTAACTTTCCAGGGAGAGTTTTCCTCCTCACTGATCTCTACAAGGCTACATGGTTCCAGCTCCCAAAACTAGGAGGAGGAGGGAGAGACCATGAGGTGGTGGGGTGGCTGGGGGGTAGGGTTGTGCAGTGGCAGAGACTAAGGCAATCCCATTTCAGTTCTGGCTAAACTAGGAGGAACAAGGAGGAGGTGGGAGAGTAGGAGAAATGGGTGGGTCAAATTTTACCACGATATTAACACCAAGTCATTGTATGTGAGACTTTGACCTAAGGAACTGCAAACCAGGGGCAATGGCCTTCAATCCTCGAAAAAACCTCTCCAGATATATGGGAGCAGAACATTTTAGAGTCACGTGATTATTTTTCTTCTTATTATTATTCTTGAAAGCATTATTATGTTATTGCCATTACTAATTGAGCACCTATTTTGTGAAAAACATATCCAACATGTTATTTTTAATTGTTATAACAACCCTACAAGAGAAGTAGAATTATTCCTACTTTATAGATCAAGAAACTAGAGGTTTAGCAACTCACTTAAGGCACACAGTAAGAGTGGTCTTTTCACTAGATTTTGCCGTTAATATCTTTTAAAGATAGTTTTATTAAGGTATAGTTGACATACAATAAATGCACATATTTAAAGTAGATAATGTGATAAGTTCTGACGCAGGTATACACCCATGAAACCATCACCACAATGACAAGATGAAACATTCATCATCCCTGAAAAGTTTCCTCATGCTTCTTTGTAATCCTTCCTTCTGCCACTCCATTCTCAGGTAGCCACTCATCTGTTTCCTACATTAGTTTGCACTTCCTAGAATTTTATATAAATGGAATTATACAGTGTGTACTCCTTTTTGTCTGGCTTCTTTCACTCAGCCTAACTATTTGGGTTTCATCCATGTTGTTGCATGTGTCAATAATTCATCCCTTGTTATTGCTGAGTTGTAGTCCATTGGATGGATATGCTACAGTTTGTTTATCCATTTGCCTGCTAATGGACATTTGAATTGCTTCCAGTTTGATGATGGAACAAATAAAGCTGCTTGTCTATTTGGATGTATGCTTTCTTTTCTTTTCTTTGGGTAAGTACCTCAATGCAGAATGGCTGGACCATATGGTAGATATATGTGTAACTTCTTAAGAAAAAACCAAAATGTTTTCCAAAGTATTTCCCTAATGACTTATGATGTTGAGCATCTTTTCATGTGCTTATTTGCCATCGGTATATCTTCTGGGTTATGTGTCTGTTCAAATCTTTTGCCCATTGTAAAAATTGGGTTGTTTATTTGCTTATTATTGAGTTTTGAGAGTTCCTTATATATTCTGGATACAAGTCCTACGTCAGATGATTATTTGCCAATATTTTCTCCCAACCTGTGGCTTGTTTTTTCATTTTCTTAACAGTGTATTTTGAAGAGCAGAAATTTCTAATTTTGATGAAGTCCTACTTATCAATTTTTCCTTTTATGGATTGTGCTGTTGGTGTGTATCTAAAAAGTCTTTGCCTTACCCAAGGTCTCTATGGTTTTCTTTTATGTTTTCTTCTAGAAGTTTTTATATTAGGTTTTACATTTAATCTATGATCCATTTTGAGTTAATTTTTGTATACGATGCAAGGTACGAATCTAAGTTCATTTTTGCATATGAATATCCACACCATTTGTCGTAAAGATTATTCTTTCTCCACTGAATTGCCTTTACACATTTGTTGAAAATCAGTTGTTCATATATATGTGATTCTATTTATGGACTCTATTCTGTTCCACTGATTTATCTATCTTTATGACAATACCACACTTTGATTACTGAAGCTTTGTAATAAATATTGAAGTCAGGTAGTGTAAGTCCTCCAACTTTGTTCATTTTCAAAGTTATTTGGGATAGTCTAGGTCCTTTCCAAATGAAATTTAGAACCACTTTAGAAAATCCCAGTAGAAAAAGCCTACTGGGATTTTGATTGAGATTGCATCAAATATATAGATCATTTTAGGGAGAAGTGACAACAATAGCAAGTCTTCTGACTTATTAACAAGATTTATCTCTACATTTATTTAGGTCTTCTTTAATTCCTCTTGGTAATGTTTTGTAGTTTTCGATGTATAAGTCTTTCACATTTTTTATCAGATTTATCTCCAAGTATTTCAATTTTTTCAATGCTATTATAAATGGTATTCTTTTTAAAATTTCAATTTATAATCGTTCATTGATAGAATATAGAAATTCAAATGATTTTTATATATTGAAATTGTATCCTGCAACCTTACTAAACTCATTTATTAATCACTCTTTGTAGATTCCATTGGGTTTTTTATATAGGCAATCTTGTTGTCTGTGAATAAAGACAGTTTACTCATTCCTTTCCAATCTGGTTGCCTTTTACTGCTCTTACTTGCCTTACTGTACTGGCTAGTACCTCTCATACGATGTTGAACAGAAGCAGTGAGAGTAGACATCATTGTCTCGTTACTGAACTTAGAGGCAAAGCATTCAATTTTTCACCATTAAGTGTAATGTTAGCTTTAGGTTGTTTGTAGATGCCCTTTACAAGGCTGAATGAATTCCTTCCTATTCCTACTTTGCTGAGGGTTTTTATCAGGAATGGCTGTTGGATTTGTCAAATACTTTTTCTGCATCTATTGTGATGATCATATGATTTTTCTTTGTAGTTTGTTAATATGATAAATTATATTGATTTATGATTTCTGTTCTTTTAAATTTCTTAAGGTGTGTTTTATGGCCCAGAATATCAAATGTTTCATGTGAGCTTGAGAAGAATATGTCTTTTCCTGTTGTTGGATGAAGTAGTCTATAGATGTCAGTTATATCCAGTTGGTTGACATGTTGTTAAGTTCTACTATGTCCTTACTGATTTTCTCTCTGCTGTCTCTGTCCATTTCTAACAGAGGGGTGCTGAAGTCTCCAACTACACAGTGGATTCACCTGTTTCTCCTTGCAGTTCTATCAGTTTTTGCCTCACATAGTTTGATGCTTTGTTGTTAGGCACATACATGTGGAGGATTGTTAAGTCTTCTTAGAGAATTGACCCTTCTATCACTACACAATGCCCTTCTTTATCCCTAATAACTTCTCTTGC